ACTTGGCAAAACATTTAGGAAACTCAGAGACGCAGAAATGAGTGTTGCTTAGATCACTTCTGTGCTCCTTCTGGGCTTCCCTCTGGTTTCCCAAAGGGGTCATTTTAAGTGGGCTTTGGAGGATCAGTAGGAGTTTTGCTGGATTATGGGAAATCATTTCCAGATGGGGGAATGGCACGAGCGAGCAGCCATCCCCAGGTCTGAAAATGCACGCGCGCGTGGTCTGTGAAGGCCCATGGCAAAGGGACAGGGCCACACAAGGGCACTGCCTGGGATAGCGTGTGTTTAGAAAGGACCTCCTGTTTTAGACTAAAGCGTGGAGGGCTGCTGGAGCAAGGAGCAGTAGGATGGTGAGAGGGAATCCTGGGAGCAGAAGCCACTGGGGCCCCAGGGAGGAGACGGCGGTGGGGCACAGGCCAGGGTAGCAGCGGAGGCCGCGTGGAAAGGGAGGAAGAGACGCGGTGCCATGTGCCGGTCTCCACTCATGTCGGTGGGAGCGAGGGGAAAGGCCTTGTGGGTGGGTTAAAAGGAAGTAGCACCCTTTCCAGGAAGAGGCCTTGGCCGGTGCAGCTGGGGACACACAGCACAACCTCCCCACCCTGGGCCGGACTCCAGCCGTGGGCCTCCCATCTCAGCCTCCCGAGTCGCTGAGGTCACAGGTGTGGGGCACGGTGCTGGATGAATGAAGACGGTCTCTCTCCATATTACCTTCAATGGCTCATTTCATAGATAGATCATAGATCATATATACACACACACACACATGCATTTTACATAAATGCTCATGCATAAATTCACTGCAGAAATAAAACATACAAAATCATTGTATCTCAGTACATACATGAATTCATTATATAAAACGACATGAACTCACTTTATATAAATGTACTTAAATAAAAAATAACTGAAATAATTATATCCAAATAGATGCAAACTCATTATATAGATTAAAAGATGAAATCGTTATATCTAGATGTATAAATTCACTATATAACTGAAAATATATCAAATCATTACATATAAGTATATATAAATAAAATATATGAAATGGTATATAAATATATGTGCATTCGTTATAGAAATAGAAATATATATAAAATCGGTACAACTAAACATATGGAAATTCACTACATAGAAATATATGACATGCATTTGTTTCTAACGCATTCATGCATTTGTTTCTAACACATTTATAAGATTATTTCTTTGTTGCTTTGTATGTCCCTCCCCCACAGTATAACCCCTGCTTTCACTATATTTGATATCGGTATAACTTGTGGAGGAGATGGGGAAAAACAAGTCGTTTAAGGATACAGGTGGACCTGTTGCAACAATGAGAAGTACAAGTTGTCATGTCGAAAACGAGCTTTACAACTTTGGTGGCGGGGGGAGGGGGGGATTGGGCAGGGGGGCGGGGGGAGGCTGGGAAGGGATGGGAAGGGTAAACAAAGGAGGAGGCTGCAATGCTTGATAAGAAATGTACGCATTATCCTGGCCCATGTAATTGTAACCCCTCTGTACAGTGTGTTCACAAAAAATAAAAATTAAAAAAAATGGACCTAAAACATTCAAAAATATATGACAGCATGTCAAAAATATATATACATTCATGCTGTAAATAAAAACATATGAACTCATTTTATATATAAATAAAAATATATAGGAAATCATATCTAAATCTATATGAATTCGGGCTGGGAAGGTGGCTCAGTGGTAGAGCGCTTGCCTTGCATGCCTGAGGCCCTGGGTTCGATTCCTCAGCACTATATAAGCAAAAAGAAAAAAAAAAGCCGGAAGTGTCACTGTGGCTCAAGTGGTAGAGCGCTAGCCTTGAGCTGAAGAGCTGAGGGACAGCGCCCAGGCCCAGAGTTCAGGCCCCACAACTGGACAAAAAAAAAAAATCTATATGAATTCATTATATAAACAAAAATACATTAAACTATTGTATTTAAATTGATTATAGAGGTAAACATAGATGAAATCATTATATAAACATATAAATTCATTATGTAAAAATAGATATGAAATCATTCTATATAAATATATGTAAATTCATTACATAAAAAAGGAAATCATTATGCCCAAACATATAAATTCATTATATAAAAATACATGAACTTATTTTATATAATATATAAATCATCATACATGAATGCATATGAGTTCATTATATAAATAAAAATAGAGGAAATCATTATATGTAAATATATGTAAACTCATTATATAGATTAAATATGTGGAACCATTATATATATTCATTATGTAAAGATATACATGAAATCATTATGTATAACTATATGTAAATTCATTATATATATTAAATATGTACTTGTGCCAATACTGGAGCTCAAACTCCAGGATTCATGCTACTGCTGGGCTTCTTTACTCTGGTCCTCTACCACTTGAGCCACAGCTCTACTTCCCGTTTTCTGGTGGTTCATTGGAGATAAGAGTCTCACGGACTTTCCTGTCCAGGCTGGCTTTGAACCTCAATCCTCCGATCTCAGCCTCCCAAGTGGCTGGGATGACAGATGTGAGCCACCCGTGCCGGCCCTCTGGCATATTTTTAGAGCAGGAAAATGTCACTGTGGCCTTAGATTTGACAGGCAGAGCCAACACCCCTGACTCAGGAGGCAGAGATCAGAGGATCGAGGTTCGAGGCCCGTCTGGGCAGGAAAAAAAAAGCTGGTAAGAGTCTGTGGCTCAAGTGGTAGAGCACCTGACTTAGGCAAAAAAATAAAAAAGCCCAGCAAGAACAAGGGCTCTCCCCAAACCCAACGAATCCCAAAATGCCACCTGAGGAGTCTAAAATAAGATTCCCAGGCTAGCCCAAGTAATTGGTGCCTGAGTCACCATGGTGAAGTTCTGGCTCTGCAGCAAAAAGGGCCTCATGCTCTTGCTTGGCTTTTGTGTTCAAGGTTGGCATTCTTCCACTTGAGCCACACCTCCACGTGTGGCTTTTTGCTGGTTCACTGGAGATAAGGGTATCATGGACTTTCCTGCCCTGGGCTGGCTTTGAACCCGGATCCTCAGATCTCAGCCTCCTGAGTGGCTGGGATTATAGGCATGCATGAGCCACCAGTGCTAGGCTCTGTTTGGCCACACAGTTCACCTTGTTCATTTTTTTTGTTCCATATCACACATCCTTCCTGATAGAACTTCCACCCACACTGGCCAGTCCAGTCCAGTCTCGGGCCTGAGTGGCTTTCTGGAACATTCTCCCACCTCCAAATTATTGTTCATAGTTTGTGTCATCAGAGTGGGTCACTTTCGATTTCAACAGCCTCTCTCCAGTCTTTGCTTATTTTTTTTTGTGCCAGTTCTGGGGCTTGAACTCAGAGCCTGGGCGCTGTCCCTAAGCTGTTTTTTGCTCAAGGCGAGCGCTCTACCACTTGAGCCACAGCACCACTTCTGGATTTTCTGGGGAGTTCACTGGTGATTAAGAGTCTCTCAGATTTTCCTGCCCTGGCTGGCTTCAAACCTGGATCCTCAGATCTCAGCCTCTCGAGTATTTAGGAAGACAGGTGTGAGTCACCGGTGCCCGGCTTAGCTTAGCTTATGAAAAAAAGGTTCTTCTCCCCACAAAGGGTAAACACACGCAGCCGTGGTCCTGACTGGACACCATGTGGACAATGAACTCTACGACTTGTGGGTGGGAATGGGAAGGGGAAGCATTGTCCAAAAAGAAACGGACTCATGGTCGTACTCATGAAATAATAACCCTTCTGTACAGCAACTTTACAATAATATATATATATTTTAAATTCTCACCTACAGATCGGTTTTCCTGGAAATGTTCTATTTCTGTCGTGGGCAGAAAATATCATATATATATATATATATATATATATATATATATATGATCAGAATTAAATCTGTGTTTATCATGGATGGGAAGAAGAAAGGGTGACGTGTTCTTGATTGGAATTAAGACCCTGGAAATGGCTGGGACCAGGCTGGAAGTGACTTACAGAGGTCATGGCAGATCAAGGAAGAAGTTCCATGAATGGCCTTGAGGTTGGTGTGTGTGGTGTGTGTGTGTGTGTGTACCAGAAGTCCACCTGCTGGCAGTTCTGGGAAGCCCAGGGCTGTGGCTGAGCGATTGTGCGGCCTGATGCTGCCCCCTGGTGTCACATCTTGAGAACTGCACAGCCCCGTTGGGATGTTCCCCCCTTAAAAGGGTCTGAGTCCTGATGTTGGGCCCAGTGGGTTTGTAGCTGGCTCTTGGGGGGACCCTGGGACTTCTGAGTGGGAGAACTGAGAATCAGGCGCTTCTCTTTCCTGGACTGCTACCTTCCTTGAACTTGAGACTTAAGAAGAAATCCAAGAGCCAGGCACCAGTGGCTCACACCTGTAATCCCAGCCGCTCAGGAGGCTTGAGATAGGCGGATGGAGGTTTGAAGCCAGCCTGGGCAGGAAAGCCCGTGAGACTTTTAAAATCTTTTAACTTCTGTCATCCTGCCTCCTCACCTGCAAATCAGGGGGTAACTCTACTTCCCTCCCTGGTCCCTGGTGACAGTTCAGGGAGTTTTCATACAGCCTGGGAAAGATGCCTCTTTCACGCTGGACATGATGTGCTGTGGTAATTTCTCTGCAAGGATCCGACAGCACGCCAAGTTGTTTATGAAGGCACACAGGCCTCTTCTGGTTGTACCCATGGACCTAGGCTAAATCTGATTGGACTGTGATGAAGGAAGTGGCGTTGGAGGAAGTGGGGGAAAAGAGGAGGAACCAGGGATGGTGGTACACGCCTGTAATTCCATCACAGGGCCTGGGATGCGGAGGCACGAGGACCCCAAGTTCAAGGACAGAGAAGGCCAAATAGAGTCGCACCGTGTTGCCAAACAAACACTTAAAGAAATAAGCATTGTGTGCGTAAATTGTAAATTGTGTGTGTAACAGTACTGAGGCTTACACTCAGGGCCTGGGCATTCACACTCTCCCTTCGCTTTTTCAATCAAGATTAGAACTACTAAGTGTGCATAGCTACACTTCAAAAATTCATTTTTTAAAGTAGTTTATTAGATGTATTTATCAACATCAAGCACTTGTACAAGGAGGTTTTTTTTGTTTTTTTTTTCCCTCTGTCAGCCATGGGGCTTGAACTCCGGGCTTAGCAGCTGCCCCTGAGCTTTTGTGCCCCAAGGTGGCAGTCTGTCACTTGGAGCCTCAGTTCCACTTCTGGGTGTTCTTTTGGTGGCTAACTGGAGATCGGAGTCTGACAGACTTCCCTGGCCAGGCTGGAACCCTCAGCTCTCAGCCTCCCGAGTTGCTGGGATGACAGGCGCGAGCCGTGGCCTTGGGATGCCTGTTCTTTTGGATGTCCGAGGTTCCCTGTGGCAACATCCATTTAATGTGCATTCACTCCCTTTACTGATTCATCTGCAGAGCTCGGGCCCGAACTTAGGGCTTTATCCCCAGGCCCTGCACCCCTTCCTTCCCCGGCCCCCTCTCCAGGACTGAGGTCTGCATGCAACTCTGAGCGCTCCCGCTGGGATTACAGCTAGCTGATGCAGCGCCGATCTATACGTCTCATTCTCGTGTTTCTGAAGAGCGTCACCGTGCGGCCAAGCGGCTCCGTCTCCCGTCACAGCCGGGCCCCGACGGTCCCCACGGTCCGGCCTCGGCCCCGCGGCCGCCCGGGAACCGGAAACCGGAAAGACCGCCGCCCACGGCCATCCGGGTCCCGCAGCCTCGCTGGGATGCACTGGGCGGGGCGTGACGTCAGGACGCACAGCCGCACGTGCCCGGACGCGGCGCACGTGCCCGGACGCGAGGATGCACCGCCTGGAGGCGACCCGACGTCACGACGCGCAGCCGCACGTGCCCGGACGCGAGGATGCACCGCCTGGAGGTGGACTGACGTCACGACGCACAGCCGCACGTGCCCGGACGCGAGGATGCACCGCCTCGAGGTGACCCGACGTCATGACGCGCAGCCGCACGTGCCCAGACGTGAGGATGCACCGCCTGGAGGCGACCCGACGTCATGACGCACAGCCGCACGTGCCCGGACGCGAGGATGCACCGCCTGGAGGTGAACTGACGTCATGACGCGCAGCCGCACGTGCCCAGACGTGAGGATGCACCGCCTGGAGGCGACCCGACGTCACGACGCACAGCCGCACGTGCCCGGACGCCACGCCCCCACGCCTGGGAAAAGAGCCACTCGCACCTGTGGGCGGAGCGCGGCGGGGCCCCGCCCCGCCTATGGCTGGCTTCCGGCTGCCGTGGGCGGCTGGCTTCCGGGCGTCGCGGTCCGGGCGGGTCCGGGCTTCTCCAGCGTGAGCCGCGGACACTTGGTTCCGAGCCTGGGCTGGGCTGGGGGTGAGCCCTCAGGCCGGGGCCGGGGCGCTGTCTTTGAAGATGGAGGAGATCTGTGTACGTCACCACCGCGATGGGGCCGGGCCAAGGCGGTGACTCCCCAGGCCACCTCCCCTCCGGTCTACAGCCCCTTGTTGAAGTAGACGCGCTGCAGCTCGGGGTGGCTCTGGTGGAGCTTGGCCCGCAGCTCATCCTCCAGGCTGGACACCGACATGGAGCTGGAGGGGGAGGAGGGGCAGGGTCAGCATGGAGCTGGAGGGGGGAGGGTCAGCATGGAGGGGGAGGGTCAGCATGGAGCTGGAGGGGGAGGGGGAGGGTCAGCATGGAGCTGGAGGGGGGAGGGGAAGGGTCAGCATGGAGCTGGAGGGGGAGGGGCAGGGTCAGCATGGAGCTGGAGGGGGAGGAGGGGGAGGGTCAGCATGGAGCTGGAGGGGGAGGGTCAGCATGGAGCTGGAGGGGGGAGGGGGAGGGAGCATGGAGCTGGAGGGGGGAGGGGGAGGGAGCATGGAGCTGGAGGGGGAGGAGGGGGAGGGTCAGCATGGAGCTGGAGGGGGAGGAGGGGGAGGGTCAGCATGGAGCTGGAGGGGGAGGGGGAGGGTCAGCATGGAGCTGGAGGGGGAGGAGGGGGAGGGTCAGCATGGAGCTGGAGGAGGAGGAGGGGGAGGGTCAGCATGGAGCTGGAGGGGGAGGGTCAGCATGGAGCTGGAGGGGGGAGGGGGAGGGAGCATGGAGCTGGAGGGGGGAGGGGGAGGGAGCATGGAGCTGGAGGGGGAGGAGGGGGAGGGTCAGCATGGAGCTGGAGGGGGAGGAGGGGGAGGGTCAGCATGGAGCTGGAGGGGGAGGGGGAGGGTCAGCATGGAGCTGGAGGGGGAGGAGGGGGAGGGTCAGCATGGAGCTGGAGGGGGAGGGGGAGGGTCAGCATGGAGCTGGAGGGAGAGGAGGGGCAGGGTCAGCATGGAGCTGGAGGGGGGAGGGGGAGGGTCAGCATGGAGCTGGAGGGGGGAGGAGGGGGAGGGTCAGCATGGAGCTGGAGGGGGGAGGAGGGGGAGGGTCAGCATGGAGCTGGAGGGGGGAGGAGGGGGAGGGTCAGCGTGGAGCTGGAGGGAGGAGGGGCAAGGTCAGCATGGAGCTGGAGGGGGGAGGGGGAGGGTCAGCATGGAGCTGGAGGAGGAGGGGGAGGGTCAGCATGGAGCTGGAGGGAGGAGGGGGAGGGTCAGCATGGAGCTGGAGGGAGGAGGGGGAGGGTCAGCATGGAGCTGGAGGGGGGAGGAGGGGGATGGTCAGCATGGAGCTGGAGGGAGGAGGGGGAGGGTCAGCATGGAGCTGGAGGGAGGAGGGGCAGGGTCAGCATGGAGCTGGAGGGGGGAGGGGGAGGGTCAGCATGGAGCTGGAGGGGGGAGGAGGGGGAGGGTCAGCATGGAGCTGGAGGGGGAGGAGGGGGAGGGTCAGCATGGAGCTGGAGGGGGGAGGGGGAGGGTCAGCATGGAGCTGGAGGGAGGAGGGGGAGGGTCAGCATGGAGCTGGAGGGGGGAGGGGGAGGGTCAGCATGGAGCTGGAGGGGGAGGAGGGGGAGGGTCAGCATGGAGCTGGAGGGGGGAGGGGGAGGGCCAGGATGGAGCTGGAGGGGGGAGGGGGAGGGTCAGCATGGAGCTGGAGGGGGAGGGGCAGGGTCAGCATGGAGCTGGAGGGGGGAGGGTCAGCATGGAGCTGGAGGGGGGAGGGGGAAGGTCAGCATGGAGCTGGAGGGGGGAGGGTCAGCATGGAGCTGGAGGGGGAGGGGGAGGGTCAGCATGGAGCTGGAGGGGGAGGAGGGGGAGGGTCAGCATGGAGCTGGAGGGGGGAGGGGAAGGGTCAGCATGGAGCTGGAGGGGGGAGGGGGAGGGTCAGCATGGAGCTGGAGGGGGAGGGGCAGGGTCAGCATGGAGCTGGAGGGGGGAGGGGGAGGGCCAGGATGGAGCTGGAGGGGGGAGGGGGGGGAGGGTCAGCATGGAGCTGGAGGGGGAGGGGGGGAGGGTCAGCATGGAGCTGGAGGGGGGAGGGGCAGGGTCAGCATGGAGCTGGAGGGGGGAGGGGCAGGGTCAGCATGGAGCTGGAGGGGGGAGGGGCAGGGTCAGCATGGAGCTGGAGGGGGGAGAGGGGGAGGGTCAGCATGGAGCTGGAGGGGGGAGGGTCAGCATGGAGCTGGAGGGGGGAGGAGGGGGAGGGTCAGCATGGAGCTGGAGGGGGGAGGAGGGGGGGCAGGGTCAGCATGGAGCTGGAGGGGGGAGGGTCAGCATGGAGCTGGAGGGGGGAGGGGCAGGGTCAGCATGGAGCTGGAGGGGGGCAGGGTCAGCATGGAGGGGGAGGAGGGGGGCAGGGGTCAGCCTCATGGCAGGCGCAGGTGGGAAGGGAGGCAGGACCAGCTGGGGGGGGGGAGGGGGAGGAGCAGAATCTTCTGGAGAAGAGGTCTTTTTTTTTAATGCCAGTCCTGGGGTTTGAACTCTGGGCCTGGGCACTGTCCCTGAGCTCCTGCTCAAGGCTGGCGCTCCACCACTTGAGCCACAGCACCACTTCCGGCTTTGTGTGTGTGTGTGTGTGTGTGTGTGTGGGTTCATTAGAGATGAGGGTCCCACTAGACTTTCCTGCCCCGGGCTGGCTTTGAACCCCGATCCTCAGATCTCAGCCTCCTGAATAGCTAGGATGACAGGCGTGAGCCACCAGCGCCTGTCATGTCAGAAATGGATAGTTTGGGGAAAGAAGATTGGGGTTTAACTTGACCCCCTCCTCCCTCTCCCTCCCCCCTCCCCCCCCCCCCCCCCCCAGCAGGGAGTTGCAGTAGCCACCAAAGCCCAGCTGAGAGAATGTGTTGGGGGCCTTGCAAAATGTGTGTTCTGTCCCTTTCAGAAAGCCAACCGAGACGAATAGTCAAAGAAACGGGAGGCTCCCGCCTCACAGCCTTACAGGCTGGATATCCTGTTGCTGCCGGTGTTGGGAAAGCAATTTATGCTAATTGTCATTCCTCCCCCATCCCCCCCAAGAAAAATAATACAGATGCCTAGCCCTGATTACAAAAACAAGAGGTAAATGCTTTCTTACTTATGCATACTTATTGTAAACATACTTTTGCTTATGCTAAGACAGTGCACGATTATTACAGAACACTTTCAGAGTCCTGAAACATACCCAAAAGAAGAAAAAACGAAAAGAACCAGGTGCCCGTGGCCACGCCTGCCTATAATCCTAGTTACTCAGGAGGCTGAGGCTTGGCGGATGAATGTCAGAAGGGTCCATGATACTCCTTTTCCAATTAAGCAGCAAAAAAGCTAGGCTGGAGGTCTGGCTTCAGTGGTAGAATGCCAACTGATGGAAGCTCAAGTCTGTGAGCTCAAAACCTCAGTACTGCCTTTAAAAATAAGTGAAAAAAGCAAAAAAACAAAAGAACAAGTCCAAGAATATTAAGGAAAAAGAAACGTAGCAATAGTTCCACCGTGGGAAGATTGCCAATGTTATACCCAGCTGGGTATGATGTGCTCATATGTGCGAGGCTCTGGGTTTGACTCCAGCACTGCCAAAAGCAAAACCCAAAACATGGCATCTTTGATTGTTCCATTCCAAGTTTATTTGCATTATAGGAGCAAATGGATTACTTCCCATTCCCACGCCAGGTTCTGAATGAATCACGGTTAATTGGTGCTGGAAAATGCATTCAAACAACACCAAGGGCTTGATAAGATGTTTCTTAATTGGCTCCAAGTTGAAAATCCCTTTTATTCCTAGAATAACAGAAGTGGCAGGGCGCTGGTACCTCACACCTGGAATCCTAGCTACTCAGGAGGCTGAGATCTGAGGATCACGGTTCAAAGCCAGCCCGGGCAGGAAAGTATGGGAGACTCGTATCTCCAACGAACCACCAGAAAACCAGAAGTGGCGCTGTGGCTCAAGCGGTAGAGCACTTACTTGCCTTGAGCAAAAGGAGTAAAGGGACAGCACCCAGGCCCTGAGTTCGAGCCCCATAACCACCAAAAATAAAATAAAAATAATACATCTGTCAGATGGAGGGTCCTGAGAAAGTTCTAGAACAGAACACTTGGCCCCAAACCTACTCTGAAAGTCTAGGATAATCGGGGAGGGGGGTATGTGGACAAAACCCAGACAATGCAAACACTGCCTCCTGGTGGTCAGGTATGAGTCAGGAGAAGCTGCATTCTAGATCAATGAACCAGAGGCCAACTTCAAACATGGATCCTCTAGGCCTCAGCCCCCTGCGTAACTAGGATTATAGGTGTGGCCACTGGCACCCGGTTCTTTTCGTTTTTTTCTTTCCTTCTTTTTGGTACATTTCAGAACTCTGAAGAGTTTCTGGAATAAGCATGCACTGTCAGAGCATAAGCAAAAGAATTCGAGTAAGCACTGAATGAATGCCGATCTAGGCAGCTGCCCATGGCCGAGAACTCCAGAACAGCTTCACATGAAGCAGCGCCGGACACAGGAAGTAGGAAGAAGAGAAGCAGACACACCAAGTAATAATAATAATGATAATAAAATGCCAGGCACCGATGGCTAGTCATCGTAGCTACTCAGGAGGCTGAGATCTGTGGATCAGCGTTCAAAGCCAGCCTGGGCAGGAAAGCCCGTGAGACTCTTCGAATCTCTAATAAACTACCAAAAAGCTGGAAGTGGAGCTGTGGCTGTGGTAGAGTAATAGCCTTGAGCAGAGGAAATGACAGGGACAGTACCCAGGCTATGAGTTTGAACCCGCAGGACTGGCACTAAATAACAAACCAAACCAGGTAGAAAGCAGCTGGGTAAGAAGATGAAGATTGAAAGTCTACCCCAGGCCCTTTGCTACCACTTTTGAGGTCCAACTTCTGGCCAGCGACACAGGCCATGGCCCCTGTATCTCCAGTCCTTCCTCAGGGCGACATGTTTGCTGTTTGGAAGAAAATGGGCACCCACCTTTTTTGGGGGAAGAGGGCGCAGCACAGGGGTGTGGCAAACACCAAGCTGAAAATATAAAATAAGAATTAGCATTCCGGGCGGGTGGCTTTGCAGACTGACTTTTTTTTTTCTTTCAGTTTGTGACAACCCTCCAGACCCCATTTGTCTTTGATGCTGGTCCTGGGGCTTGAACTCAAGAGTCTCTCACTCACATCGGGCTTTCTTACTGGGGGCTGGAGCTCTACCATTTGAGCCACAACTCCACTGCCATTCTTTGTTTCTCTCTTTTTTGGTGCAAGTCCTAGAACTTGAACTCAGGGCCTGGGCGCTGTCCCTGAGCTTCTTTTGCTCAAGGTTAGCACTCTACCACTTGAGCCACAGCACCACTTCTGGCTTTTTTTCTTTTTTGAGTGGTTTATTGCAGATAAAAGTCTCAAGGACTTTCCTGCCCGGGCTGGCCTTGAACCGTGATCCTCAGATCTCAGCCTCCTGAGCAGCTAGGATGACAGGCGTGAGCCACCAGCACCCAGCTCACTTCCAGCTTTTTTTTTTTTTTCCTGGTTCATGGACTTCATCTGCCTGTGCAGATGTTCAAACATAGTCCTCAGATCTCAGCCTCCTGCAAAACCCAGGCTCTGAGTTCAAGTCTCAGCATTAGCACTAGACAAATAAATAGATCAAACAGGTAAGAAACGGATGATCTTAGAAATGATTATCATGCTAACTGTCCCGACGTGGTCAGGACACACGATACACTGCGACCCCCAGAGAGCAGTACAATGACGTATCATTAATTTTAGCCAAGGCAGTTTCCACTCACCAGAAGCCAACCAACCCAACTTGAATAGGTGCGCTCATCCACGGGAACCGCTGTGGAAAGAGAGGGACGCAGGTGAACCCCTCCAGAATTGGGGGCCCCCCCTTAAAGAGCCCCTCTTCATTGGAGGAAGCACTCCCCCACGACAAAACCCATGTGCAGGCGTTGAATGAAATCCCAGGTCACACTGCAAGTTAGTCCCGGCGGCCATCTGCAGATGAACACGCATGCCAAGATACACTAGCCTGCACCCGCCTCCTCCCCACCTAGCAGAATGGGCGTGCAGCTTGAACCTTGCCACAGAAGGTAGAGAAATAACATCACTTCATTCCGGCCTGTAAGGGTGCGTTTGTAGCTCTCGCCTGCAATCCAAGCAACTCGGGAGGCTGAAAATCGGAGGATGGCGATTGGAGGCTCAACTGTTGGTTGAGACTCCACTCACAGCGGGGGGGGGGGTGGGGGGGGGGGGTCTGTGACAGGAAAAGGCACCTTTCAATTTTAGTTAGAACCTAACTCCTGGCTGGCGAGGCAGAAAAACCATGGCAGGAAGCCAGAAGAGGCCTTCCTCCCGCCTGGCTTCACATTCTCCACCCCCTCGGGTAGCTTATGGTTTTATTTGGCACAAATCTACGTAAGAATATTTCTGGCACAGCATTCCTTTTTTGGCTAATTACTTCTGTTATTTTTGCTTCAAGCTGGCGCTCTACCACTTGAACCACGGCACTACTTCTCACTTTGGTTTTTGCTGGCCATTGGAGATACGGACGTCTCCTGGGCTTCCCTTGCCAGGCTGGGTTTCGAACAGCCATCTTCAGATGTTTGTGGCTGGGATTACAGGCATGAGCCACTAGCACCCAACACTTTTTTTTTTTTTTTTTTCTTAATGGAAGGGGTTAAGTTGGGTTTTCTTGGGAAGGCAAATGCTGTTAGAGTTTTAGTTTTTCTTCCTTTTTTTTAAGGAGTGGCCGTAAAACACACATGATAAACGAGCAACGAGACACAGGGTTATCTAACCACGACCACGGAAACGGCTGCAGCCACGTTGTGAACCCAAGCGGTTACCAAGACAAAGGTCGGGACCAGCAGGCGTACCCCAGTCCCCAGCAACGCACCTCTGGACAAAAGGATCATCAAGAGGAAGAGGACACTGAGCCACACTGGAGGGATCTGGGGGGCTCCATAACCCCCAAAAGGTGAAAAGAATTAAGTATCATCACAGATCACTTAATGACAGGATTCACGTATTCACATAGACCAGCTGCCTGCATCAGCCCAGCGACAGACTCTCATTGGTCCAGACGACTGGGTCATCATCAGTATGGGACTGGGATCCTCACCCCAGGCCCTCCCAGACATGAGAAATCTAGGTTGGAACACAGCAAAAGACTTAGTAAGCTTTGAGGCAAACCCTGTGCCTGGGTGAACGAGGCCCCAAAAGGGACCAGCAGAAGCTCTCCTTGCAACATCAAGAAGGCCAGAGGATTCCAACCCCACACACCCCCAGCCCCGTCCTGCTTAACATACTCCCTGTTTTTCAAAACGCCGTCTGTGACTAAGCAAGTGAGTAGCATGTCTGGTCTTCGCCTAGAGAGCCAGGGCTCACAGAACAGTGTGGAAGATAGTCCCAATAAACTTCAGGCAAACCAAAGCTAACAACCATCCATAACAGAGCATAATACAAGTTAAAGAATATATACATATAACCAGGCACCAGTGGCTCACACCTGTAACCCCAGCTACTCAGGAGGCTGAGACTGGAGGATCGTGATTGGAAGCCAGCTGAGGTTCGCAAGTCCATAAGATTCTTATCTCTGATGAACCATCAAAAAGCCAGAAGTGGAGCTCTGGCTCAAGGGTGCTAACCTTGAGCAAACATTAAAAAAAAAAAAGCTTAGGGCCCCGAGTTCAAGGCCTAGGACTGGCGTGCACACACACACACAAAAAGACACACATATAACAATGACATATAAGAATATATAAGAAAGCCAGGTGCTGGTGGCTCACGCCTGTCATCCTAGCTACTCAGGAAGCTGAGATCTGAGGACAGCAGTTCAAAGCCAGCCCAGGTAGGAAAGTCTGTGAAACTCTTATCTCCAATAAACCACCAGAAAACTGGGAGTGGCGCTGTGGCTCAAGTGGTAGAGCACTCGCCTTGAGCTGAAGAGCTGAGGGACAGCGCCCAGGCCCAGAGCTCAAGCCTCACAACCGTCCCCACCCCCCAAAAAAAGAATATATAAGATATACTCAAAGAGATAATAAAAAGCTCAAAGTTAATGTGATGCATCATTTTCTCCCATGTCGTTTTTTTCTCTTACGGTTCTATTAATATTAATATGCTCAACAACACACATTGAGTGTGTACGACATAACTTTTTTTTTTGGTCGGTCGTGGGGCTTGAACTCTGGGCCTGGGCGCTGTCCCGCAGCTCTTCAGCTCAAGGCGAGCGCTCTACCACTTGAGCCACAGCACCATTTCAGGTTTTCTGCTGGTTCACTGGAGATAAGAGTCTCTCAGACTTTCCTGCCCGGGCTGGCTTTGAACCATGATCCTCAGATCTCAGCCTCCTGAGTAGCTAGGATGACAGGCGTGAGCCACCGGCGCCTGGCTGAGACATAACTCTTGCATTGCCTCTCATCACTTCAAATGGTTTTCTTCCTCTCATTCCTGTGCCCTTTTGCTATTCTCTTTCCCGTCCATCTGCCAGCCCGGCCACCTCTGATCTATCTTCTGTCCCTATGGATGCATTCACAGCGAACAGGATTTTGTATTTGCAAGCACTTGGAAATCATCCTAAGATTCATGCACGCTGTTGAAGAGGATCAATAGTCCTTTACCTTAAATTTAAAAAAAAAAAAAACAAACCGTGGCTGGTGTAAGCATTCCTGAGTTAGGAAGAACCATTCTACAGGTCAATTGACACCAATGCTCTAGGCTTCCATTTTGTAGGATCCTGTACCTGGTGGTGGTGGTGGTGGTGGTGGTGTGGGGGGGTGCAGTACCGGGCATGTCCACGAGGAGGCGCCCAGAGCACCAGTTGTTCCCTAGCCACATCAGCCCACCATGAGGGCTATTCTTGGTTGGGCTCCTGGGGTTTGAGTCTGACTTTCTTCAAATACACAGCGCCATAGGTTTTGCCCCTTTTGAGAGGCCGTATGTATTTGGTGATGCATCTGCTTGTGTCATCTCTTGCTTGCTTTTGTGCTGGGTTGTTCTGTCGATGTGGGTGTTGAACTTATTTATCTATTCAGGATTTAAATTCTCATCGGAAGGATGGGCTTTGCCAAATATTCCTCCCAATCTGTCTCGTGTCTTTTTAATACCTGTATACTTTGTTTTGTTTTCTTTTGTTTGGGGCGGGGAGGGAGACCGAATTTGAAAATCTTCACCAAGTCTTAATTTTATCCGTTTTTCTTGCCTGTTTGGGATGTGCGTTTGATGTTCCATAGAAGAGATCTAGTCATCCTAGCTACTCAGGAGGCTGAGATCTGAGGATCGTGGCTTGAAGCCAGCCCAGATAGAAAAGTCCCCATGAGACTCTTACCTCCATTGAACCACTCAAAAACCAGAAGTGGAGCTGTGGCTCAAAGTGGTAGAGCCCTAGCCTTGAACAAAAGAGCTCAGGGAGAGCACTCAGGTCCTGAGTTCAAGCCCCAGGGCTGACCAAATTAAAAAAAAAAATCTCCTGGGGCTTGGAGGCATGGCTCAGGTGGGTAGAGCTTCAGCTAATGGGTGAAAACATCAGATACCAAATTTGAATCCCAGTCTTAGACTGAAAGAACTCCCAAACCCCAAAACCTCCATGTGGCTCAGTATTCTTTTTTTATGTAGTAGCTTTATAACCGTAGAGAGTTCTACATTTAGGGTACATTTAAGCAGTAGCTTTATGAATGTAGTTTTACATTTAGAGTACATAGAGTACAATCAGTTTTCTGTCCATCCTGTAAGCTTCTCTATAGAAGTGTGTGTGTCCCTTGGCTGGTTTTCTGGTCGTCTCTGCCCATCTCTGCCAACTGGGTAAGATGGTTGCTTTGGGCTTCTTGTGGCTCGGGCCATCACCATGACAACCACTGATTCTGGGTCTTTTCTCCCACCAATCCTTGAGAGTTGGGCCCAAGCCCAATTTCTAGTTCCTGCCTTCCTGTTTGATACGCAGCAGGCACTTGACACAGGCTTCCCGAACAAACGTCGCCTGTGATTGAGCAAATGAAGTACTCCACCGCTCATACCGGTCTCGAGGACTTTCCTGTCTGGGCTGGCCTCGAACCTCGAGCCTCCGATCTCAGCCTCCTAAGTCGCTAGGATCACCGGTGTGAGCCACCAGCCCTGGGCTAGTGAAAATCCCCACAGTAGCCCAAAGAGGCAACTACCAGGAGATTCATAGGAACACATGATTTTTAGGCAGCCAACTTTTTTTTTTTTTGGGGGGGGTTGAGTTCCAGAACTTTCCATGAGTCCCCTGCCCACAGCTGAGGCCTTTTGCCAGCACGGCTCAGGAGACGAGTTATTCCCAGAGCACAAGTGTTTGCAAAGAGCTGAAAATGAGCAGTTCACCTCCTGTTTGCAGAGGAGTTGGGTCATTTGCCAGGGAAAAGCCTGGGTCAGTTCAACCTTGCACACGCATGGCTGGTACGGTGGGCATCCAGGCCGATGCTCACCACCTGCCTGGGCGTGTGGGCCCCAGAGAAATCAGGAGAAAATGATCTCCCGATCCTTTGAGTCTGATCGATGGGACTTCCACCAAAGGTGATCTGTGTATAGGCGAATGCAATATTTAAATGCACTTGCACTTGGGAAGGTGTGTCTAGAGTACTTAGCTCAGGAGTACTTAATCTTTTTCAAAGCAACACTCCAGTGAAACCGGAAGGCATAGAGCTACCACCAGACCTCCCCCAGTAGCTCGGGAGGGGCACGGACCCGTCTTGGAAGGGTGTGTGGGGGTAAAGCAAGCAGCGGGCATCTGTGGAAGAGTCAGGAAGAAAGCCTTCCAGATTGTAACTGCAAGGTCCCGTGACAAAGCTCAGACCTGTAAGTTAAGATGAGGGTGTGGAGAAAAGCGATCGTTTCTCATCAGAATCAGGAAAGGGCCCGGCTATACAGAGGGCCCTGGGGGCATGAGAAAATGCCAGAAACTTCCATCTGCCACAGCCCGAAACCTCCAACCACTTCTGTCTTCTGTTCCGTGTTAGTCATGTGGCTAGAAAACATGGCAGCCCGGCCAACTGAATGGACTCAGAGAACCACGTTCAGCCTTAGCGATCGGCATGGATGGCCAGAATGTGAATCTTCTTAAGAGAAATGGTGGAATTCCAGGCCACGATCGGAACACAGGGCCCACCAAATAGGGGCCCTGGGGTAGTGGCCCTGGGGCATGGCTGCCAGCCTTCACTGCTTGCCCAGCTGTTAAGCATCGTGTCTGCCTCCTTACTACTGGGGCTCGTGTGCATCTGAGATGCACAGGGAATGTTTACATGGTGAAAGAGGCGGACATGGGGACCGATCTTACAAGGGTTTTCGAAGTCACTGAAAACCCTGATCACGACTTTTTGTTGTTGTCATTGATCCTGGGGTTTGAACTCAGGGCCTGGGCGCTGTCCCTCAGCTCTTCAGCTCAAGGCGAGCGCTCTACCACCTGAGCCACAGCGCCCCTTCTGCCTTTTTGCTGATTCATGGGAGATAAAGTCATATGGACTTCCCTGCCCAGGCTGGCTTCAAACGTTGATCCTCAGATCTCAGCCTCCAGAGTAGCTGGGATGACAGGCGTGAGCCACCAGTGCCCAGCTTGAATTCTTTATATACTTTTTTTTTTTTTTTAATTGCAGGACAGGATTAAAGAAAGCTGCACAGAGCTGGGCTTACCTTCAGAAAAGCCTTCTTTTCTAGAGTGTTCATGATGAATGGAGGAATGGCTGGAAGTAAGAGAAAGTCAAGAAAGTCTTTAGTTCAGGTCTACTTGGAACTTACCTCCCCCAAGAAGTTAGATTTATGTCACTTTGGGGCTCTATTTCTTACGTTGGGACAATGGAAAGTAGCGATTCCTTGGATTACTCAGTTTAAATGGATCCATTTGTACTAGACACTAGTAGCTCCTGCCTATCATTGTAGCTACTCAGGAGGCTGAGATCTGAGGATCGAGGTTCGAAGCCAGCCTGGGCAGGAAAGTCTGTGAAACTCTTATCCCCAATTGACCAAGAAAAAGCCAGAAAGTAGCCAGGCACCGGTGGCTCACACCTGTCATCCTAGCTACTCAGGAGGCTGAGATCTGGGGATCGTGGTTCAAAGCCAGCCTGAGAAAGGAAAGTCTCTACGAGTCTAATCTCCAATTAATCCCAGAAAAAACTGAAAATGGTGCTGTAGCTCGAGTGGTAGGGTGCTAGACCTGAACACAAAGAGCTCAGGGACAGCACCCGGGCCCAGTGTTCAAGGCCCAGGACCAGCAAAACAAACCAACAAAAATGGAAGAGTGAGCGTAATAGAATGCCCGAGTTCTAGCTCCCGTACTGTCACACACCCACCAAAAACCACAGTAAATAAATGCATGGATTGGCACGTGCATAACCACTCTGCACCATCTCTGTGAGCTTCATGAACCTGTTCCATGAAACCCATCAAGTAGTAAATGCATTTGCAGTTAAGTCAAAAATGGATCCCGGTCTCCAGACTTCTGCCAAGGTGCTGTCCCTGAGCTTTTGTATGCTTCATTTACTTTTTTTTTTTTAATCTCTCTTGTTGTCTCCTCCAGAAAGGAATGAATGATTTGGGCTGTCATTGTATCCTGGCCCCTAAAATTTGATCTTAGCTGTCCACGTCCACTCACCCATGCCCGGGGCGGCCATGAGGATCCTGGAGACCACAACTTGCGTGATGGCTTGCTGGGCAGCGTTGGCAGACTCGCCCAGGCGGTTGCCACGCTCATCCGTGACGGGAATGCCCACTTTGAGCTCCCTGGAGAGAAGAAGAACAGCTCCAATCTACCAGGCAGTGAGCAAGCCCCTCCCCCAGCAGCACCACGCCCACCCAAGTGTCCCGGATGGGCAGGACCAGCTCTGGGTCTAAACACGATCGCCAAGTTCAATGCTGCGAGAGACACGAAAGTAAAAGAACGCGAGTGTCCTTTTAGAAAGAGCCGGTAGTCCCAGCCACCCAGGAAGCTGGGATCTGAGGACTGAAGTTCAAAGCCAGCCTCGCCAGAAAAGACTGCGAAGCCCTCATCTCCAGTGAACCACCAAAAATGCTGTAAGTGGAGTTGGGGTTCAAGTGGTAGCATGCCAGCCTTGAGCAAGAAGGCAAAGGAACAGAGCAAGGCCCTGAGTTCAAGTCCCAGTACCGACACACAGACACAGAGAGACATCTCCAGACACACACACACACAGTAAAGGAGAATCTCTTCTAACAATGCCATGACTTGAAGGATGGATACGCTGACTGAAAGCCAAGTTAGTTCTATGCTGATGTACAAATCGGAGCAACCTTCGAAATCAGAAAATAGACACAATGTGTCAGTAATTGAGAAGTCAAGCTGGGCCCCAGTGGCTCACCCCTGTTATCCTGGCTACTCAGGAGGCTGAGATCTGAGGATCGTGGTTCAAGACCAGGCTGGACAGGAAAGTCCATGAGACTCGTATCTCCAATGAACCACCAGAAAACCACAAGTGGCGTTGTGGCTCAAGTGGTAGAGCGCTCGCCTTGAGCAAAAGAGCTCAGGGACAGCGCCCAGGCCCAGAGTTCAAGCCTCAGTATGAGAGAGAGAGAGAGAGAGCGCTCAGCCTCTTGGCTTGTTAGCACCACTTCCAGCTTTTTCTGAGTAGTTTATTGGAGGTCAAAGTCTCACAGACATTTTTCTGCCCGGGCAGGTTTAGATCCTCCATCCTCAGATCGCAGCTTCCTGAGTAGCTAGGATTGTCTTCTTCATTCTCTACGTGTTCTATTTCTATTTCACACTGGCTGAGCTTACCGCCTTCCCCGCTCCAACCACACCCAATCCCAGTCCTGGATTGCAGCAGCTTTCATCTGAACATAGTCCATGAGCCCAGAATGCTCTGGGGTGAAGCCTGGGTCTGTGTGCACGGCTCACCTCTGCCTCATTAATGGGATATTGATGCAGTTCGCAGCAGCCACGGCAGCAAAGGGCACAAAACGCCCCACGAGGGATGACACGTGCTGCAGAGAGAAGGCAGAGAGCGTCAGCGCATGCGTGCAGTTCACTCGCAAGACATACTTCGAGGTATCTATGTAGAAATGCTGTAGAGCCGGGTGCTGGTGGCTCATACCTGTCATCCCAGCTACTCAGGAGGCTGAGATCTGAGGATCCATGCATGAACCCAGACTGGAGAGAGTATTCTGAGACTCTTCTCTCCAGTGGAACCCCCTCCTCAAAAAAGCTAGAAGTGGAGCTGTGGCTCAAGTGGTAGAGCGCCAGCCTTGTGTGAAGAAAAGCTCAGAGACAGCATCCAGGTCCCTGAGTTCAAGCCCTAAGACAGCCATATGAAGAAACAAATGCAAAAACTAAAACTAAAACCATGCAGCCCAGTGGCTTTTCTGATGTTTCCGCCTCGGCATCTTGATGGCTCAGTGTGATTGGTTGAAAACACATTGCTAGGAGTTGGGAGGCGAGGCTCCGTGTGATTGGTTAAAAGCACACAGCTAGGAACTGGAGGCGTGGCTCCGTGAGTTAGTAGGATCCTAGGCAATGCGCAAGAGCATCAGGTACCAGGTTCGACTCCTAATCTGTGACCAAAGAGAAACAAAACACCAGGAAAAGATAGAAGCTGAAGATCACTTCATCAGAGGTAAGCTGTACACTAGACTCAGGAGTGTTTGCCTGCAAGGGTTGTTTGTGTGCGTGTGTGTGTGTGTGTGTCCAGGGCTTGATCTCAGGGCCTGGGTGCTGTCCCTGAGTTCTTTTTGCTAAAGGCTAGCGCTCTATCACTTTGAGCCACAGCGCCACTACCCGTTTTCTGGTGGTTCACTGGAAATAAGAGTCTTATGGATTTTCCTGCCCAGGCTGGCCTTGAACCTCGGTCCTCAGATCTCAGCCTCCTGAGTAGCTGGGATGACAGGTGTGAGCTGTTGACACCCGGCTGGAAGGGAATTCAGCATCAAACGCAGAGGTGGGTGCCTCTCACATCCGGTTGGTGCCAATCCCTCAGGTGCAGCAGGCCACAAGACAGGAATGTGCAGAAGACCATAGCTTAGAGGCAGGCAGGGCGGGGGCCAGCTCAGGAGATTACAGCCCAGTACCTTGGTTAATGCATTTAGTCCCAGAGCTGTCACCACGGCACCTGAGGTGGCGGAGACATAGGCCGTTCCCAATTCACTGTGAAGAGAAAAGACACCGGGTAATTAGCGCTGTGTGTCAGGCAGCCATGGGACAGACAACAAGCCAGAAGGAAGGCAGGAGGCGGGGATGAAAGAAATAGGGGTCAGCTATTCACGCCTGCCATCCTAACTCCTCAGGAGGCCCATATCAGAGGATGCTAGTTTGAGGCCAGCTGGGGCAGGCTGAGACTTTCTTTGCTCGAGGCTAGCCCTTTACCACTTGGGCCAGAGCTCCATGGCCGGCTTTTTGGCAGTCTAGTGGAGAGAAGAGTCTGGTGGGATTTTGCTTCCCAGGCTGGCTTTGAACCACCACCATCCTGAGTTCTCAGGCTTCCTGTGTAGCTAGGATGACACCAGCGCCCGACATGCTTTTAAGTCTTCTACAAAGCTTATGTTAACGTTTTTCTGTTGAGCTAATCTCTTCAGCATGTCTGAATTTTCTGTTTTTATTGGGGGGAGGCAAATATGTCAGCCTATGCAGGTAACGGGGTCAGCACCAGCCCCCCATGACCTCCGCTGAGATGAGCCTACAAGCAGGCCACGCAGAGCTCAACCTGTCCGTGACCAGGGACGGGATCCAACCCTGCCCACAGCCCTAACAGCACAGATCCTACCCAAGAAGACAGGGAGCAAACAAATTCCCTTGATTCAGAGGGAGGAAGAGAGGCACTTAGGACTTTAAACAAGGTACACAAGCTGATTTGTTTGTTTGGTTTTGAATGGTGCCAGGAATGGACCTGGAACTCAGGACCTCCAGCTAGTTGTGCTCAAGCCTGGCGCTCTACCCCTTGAACCACAGTTCCACTTCCGGCATTTTGCTGGTCAGTTGGAGACCAGAGACTCAGGCGCTTTTCTGCCCAGGGTTAACTTTGAAACTTGTTTCTCAGATCTCAGCCTCCTGACAGGTGAGCTACCAAAGTATTCTGCTTAATAGACCAGCGCCTCCATTCATTCAATCCCAGGAGCCTGGCTACCAAAGTATTCTGCTTAATAGACCAGCGCCTCCATTCATTCAATCCCAGGAGTGGGGCGTGGCCGGGGAATGGGTGGGGCCAGCGAGGGGGCGTGGCCAACGAGGATGTAACCAGTGTGTGGGGGGGTGTGTCCGGTGATAGGTGGGGCCAGCGAGGGGGCGTGGCCAACGAGGATGTAGCCAGTGTGTGTGGGGTGTGCCCGGTGATAGGTGGCATCAGCGAGGGGCGTGGTCAGCAAGGGGAGGGTGGTGGGATGGGTTAGGGCGTGGTCTGTGAGGAGCAGGACAGGCAGGGGGCGTGGTCAGCTATAGGCGGGCCCAACGAGAGGCAGGGCCAATAAGGGTAAGGCTGGTGTGGGGCGTGGTCGGCGAGGGGGCAGGACAGGCGGAGGGTGCGCTCAGCTATTGGTGGGCCTGACGAGAGGCGTAGCCAATGAGGGGAAGGCGGGGGCGTGGCCGGCGCGGGGGCGTGGCCGGCGCGGGGCCGTGGCTCGCAAGCGCTCGGGCTCCTACCTGCCGCTCAGGGGCGCGTCCCCGCTGCGGTTGGTGTAGTTGACCACGGCGTTGAAGGACTGGTTGACCCACTGCCAGAAGAGCACGGCCGGCGTGGTCCTAGAACGGCCAGCCACCAGTTTTTATTTTTAATTTTCCATTCCCCCCCCCATCTCTGCCTCAGGATTAGCTGAGATTCCAGGCGTGCGTGACCGCACGGGGCCGGCACGACGGGGGGGGGGGGGGGGGGGGGGGGAATCATTCAATCCCGGCCATCCTCAGCCCCGCACAGACAGCAAAAAGCGCCAATCGGTGCAAGAAAATCATCGTGGACCTGTCCCCCTCCCAACAAACAAACAAGCCAGACTCTGAGCGTTGCAGTTAGGGCTGGGTTTGTCCCCAGCTCACCGGTAAAAAGTCATCATGCAGCCGGTGATGGTCATGTTCATGGGAACCTGAGCCGACATCCGTCCGATCAGGATCATCTTCTCGCCCGTGTCCGGGTGAAAAGCCGAGTCGTAAACATACTTGGCTCTCCATAGCTCGTTTTCTGTGAGCCCCGGAGGAATAACTCCTTGCCTAAGAATAACAACGGGAAAACAACAAGGACAAGTTTTCATTCCAAGTGTGTGGCCAGTACTCTAGAAGCAGGAGCTGCTAGATCTTCAGAAAGAAATGAAGCCTGGATGGAGGGACACATAGGATCATTCATTCATTCATTCATTCATTCATGGTGCTATGGATCAAACCCAGGACCCGGGACAAGCTAGTACATTACCACTGAGCCACAACCCCAGCCCCGTCAGTAAACAGTTTAAACCACAAAGGACCAAAAAAAAAATCCCTCCAAAAATCACTTAAGCCGGGCACTGGTGGCTCACGCCTGTCATCCTAGCTACTCAGGAGGCTGAGATCTGAGGATCACGGTTCAAAGCCAGCCCAGGCAGGAAAGTCCATGAGACTCTTATCTCCAATGAACTACTCAGAAAAAAGCTGGAAGTAGTTCTGTGGCTCAAGTGGTAGAGCACTAGCTTTGAGCACAAAGAAGCCCAGGGACGGCACTCAGGCCCTGAGTTCAAGCCCAGGACTAGCACAAGAAGAGAAAAGAAAAGAAAAGAGAAAAAGCTAAGCCAGAGCACAAGGCCCTGAGTTCAAGTTCTACTACTGGCGCGCGCGCGCGCGCGCGCGCACACACACACGCGCACACACACACGCGCGCACACACACACACACACACACACACACACACACACACACACACGGCTATAAAAGAGGGAAGATTTTCTAACAACACTAATCTATTTGTGCAGGAAACCAAGGCCGGGCGCCTAAGCGTCACCTGTAATCATGGACGATTCTCCTGGCGTTCTCCAGCTGCTCGTCCGTTAAGAGGACATTCCTGGGGTCGGTCACAGTGAAGAAATGATTGGCTCGTCCCACGAAGGTGCTTTGATCCCATCGGGGCTCCTTGATATTGATATTCGCAGGAACCTCCCCCGACATCGTCCTGGACTACAGGAGGTAGACACGAGCCTAGTCAGGCGACGTTGGAGGTGGTAGAGAGGCCGACCAAACCAGAGGCTAGGAATCCCACCACCTCTTAACCAGCTTCCTATAAGCCCCCTCCCCGCTGGTTAGAGGCTGGGAAAACTCCCTACAGAAGACAGAAATGAGCCTGTCATCCTAGCTCCTCAGGAGGCTGAGATCTGAGGATCGCAGTTGGAAGCCAGCCTTGGGCAAGAAAGTCTGTGAGACTTCTCTCCAATGAACCACCAGAAAACTGGAAGTGGGGCTGTGGCTCAAAGTGGCAGAGTGCCAGGCCTTGGGAGAAAAAGCTAAATAAACAAGGGTACAAGGTGCCAAGTTCAAGTCCTAATTGATATACTCAGCTTTGATATGATTTCACCTTTATTCAATGAACAGTCATCACAGAGATATTAAGTTTCTTTCATCTTGAAAGCTGATGATCCTCAGTTTGGGTGTGAGTACCAGGGCTTACATTGGGAGACCCTCTCTCAGGAGGCTGAGGTCTGAGGATCGTGGTTCAAAGCCAGCCCGGGCAGGGAAGTCTGTGAGACTCTGATCTCCAACGAGCCAGCAAAAAGCTCCAAGTGGAGCTGTGGCTCAAAGTAGCAGAGCACCAGCCTTGAGCACAAATGCCCGGGCTCTGAGTTCAAGCCCAGCACCTAAGAAATGCTACTTTTCACGGTGAAGGGATTTGGCCATGGTGACTGGTTAGGATCGGGGAACAGGAAACTCTGAGGGCGAGAAGGGGTTCGAGCGATGTTTGGCCCATTGGCCAACCAAGGTGGGCAGGTCAGGGGCTGGGGAAGGTGACCCCAGGGGAGTCCCCAGAGTCCCCGGGAGGAATGGCTGCCCACCTTTTGGCCACTTCTGACCTCTTAAAGTCTAGACAATCAAGCCATGGAGTTTCAAGGGACTGGACTTGCAGGGATTCCTTACATTAGCCCCAGAGCCGGAACCCGCCACCATCTTCCCGACTTACAGAGAATCCCGAGCTACACTGTATGGGCAGAAGAGAGAAATCCCAACACACTTGGTGACTCGCGCCCCAGCTCCCAGAATTGGGAGGGAAGAAAGAGAGGAAGGAAGGAAGGAAGGAAAATGGAAGGGAGGAAGGAGGAAAGGAAAAAAGAAAGGAGAGAAGGAAGGAAAGATGAGAAGAAGGAAGGAAAGAAGGAAAGAAGAAAAGGAAGGAAAGAAGGAAGGAAAAAAGAAAGGAGGGAAGTAAGAAAGGAAGGAAAGAAAGAAAAAAGGGAGGAAAGGAGAGGAAGGAAAGAAAGAAAGAAAGATGGGAAGAAGGAAGGAAGAAAAAAGAAAAGAAGGAAAGGGAAGGAAGAAAAGGAAGAAGGAGGGAAGGAAAGAAAGAGGAGAAGGAAAGAAGAATGGAAAGAAAGGAAGGAAGGAAGGGAGAAAAGGAAGGAAAATGGGAGGAAGAAAAGGGAGGAAGGAGGAAAGGAAAGAAAGAAGGAAGCAAAGAAGGAGGGAGGAAAGAAAGATGGAAAGAAGGAAGAAGGAAGGAAGAAAAGGAAGGGAAAAAAGAAACATGGAGGGAAATAAGAAAGGAAGGAAGAAAAGAAAGAAGGGAGGAAAGGAGAGGAAGGAAGGAAAGAAAGCTGGGAAGAAGGGAGGAAAAAGGAAGGAAGAAAAGGAAAGAAGGAAAATGAAGAGGGAGAGGGAAGGAAGGAAGGAAAGGAAGGAAGGAAGGAAGAAAAGAAAGGAAGAAGGGCAGGTTAAAAAGGATGGAAAGGAAGGAAGGAAGAATGAGAAAAGGCAGCCTATGGACTGACAGACACAAGCCCGGCCTGTTGCCATTCCTGATGGTCAAGCTGACCCGGAGCCAGGGATGAGTGTAATGATTAACGTGACCCCAGATCTCCATCCCACCGGCTGCTTCTTTACCTTGAACTTCAGCCTCAGCCAGCCGTCAACCTTTCCCTGCTCCAACCCCATCGCCCGCTTCTTATCACCAGGACTTTATTCTTTACTTGTTTATATATTAATTTACTTTCTTTACATTTTTTTTTTGCCAGTCCTGGGGCTTGAACTCAGGACCTGGGTGCTGTCCCTGAGCTTCTTTTGCTCAAGGCTGGCGCTCTACCACTTGAGCCACAGCGCCACTTCCAGCTTTTTCTGCTTATGTGGTACTGGGGAATCGAACCCAGGGCTTCATGCATGCAAGGCAAGCACTCTACCACTGAGCCACCTTCCCAGCCTCAGGACTTTTAAGACAAAAAAAGATAAGCGAATCTCTGATTTGGGGCTGAAATCAGCCTCACCCCCCCCCCCCCCGGCCCCACCCAGCACCCCCAGGTCCCTGGGCTCCAGTGTAAGTTGGGGTCCGGCCCAAAGCCTCCGTTGCTAATTCTGGGCAGGTGGGGAAGAGGAAATGCCAGTAAGGCGAGAGTAGCCCTGGCCCAGGCCACCATTCCTGTGTGAGGAATGGACTAAAGGCAGGTGCTACCATCCTTGGCCGCCTTGTGAGGTGGGTGTGCCTGTTCCCCTCTGTCCTCTGTGTGGCTAGACCACAGCATTCTCGAGTGCTCCCCCCCTTCCTCCCAGCTGCATAGGAACCCTGTTGGATGGTCCGGCTGGAATGGTAGCAGGCACCTCTGTGGCCAGGAAGCGAGGTTGAGATGATGTGGGCATGAGGGTGGGTGTGGGAAGAACAAAAATCATGGACTTCATTTCCCCCAAGCTGAGTCTGACGGATGCACACAGGAATGGCCACACCAGGAGCCAGTGGCTCACGCCTGTCATCCCAGCCACTCAGGAGGCTGAGATCTGAGGATCGTGGTTCAAGGCCAGCCCAGGCAGGAAAGTCCCTGAGAGTCTTATCTCCAGTGAACCACCAGAAAACGAAGTGGCGCTGTGGCTCAAGTGGTAGAGCGCTCGCCTGGAGCTGAAGAGCTGAGGGACAGCGCCCAGGCCCTGAGTTCAAGCCCCATGACTGGGGTGGGGGGGTGGGGAGGTGGATGGTTAACCTGTAGCTTGTGGCAGGGCTAGAAGCATGGTTCAAGGGGTAGAGTGCCAGGTAAGCAAGCCAAGCTGAGCTGAAGCCCAGCAGCCCCCCCCAACCCCTCCACTAAAAAACACTCTGAACCCAGACCAAGTTTCCAGATTAATCGTGTCGTGGTTTAGCATTGTTAATCTTTAGCTCTAGCAGGGGTGAAAGCCTGTTATTAATTCCTCTCAAGAACCCACATGCTCCCTGCTTACTCATTTTCTGTAAAATTGTAGCCAAAGAAAATACTAGCATTTTTTGGCTTGTCACTAATAGCTGGACACTTTCCTTGGAGGAAAATCTTCCTCCCCTTGCTGGCTGGGTGCAGGTGGCTCACGCCTGTCATCCTAGCTACTCAGGAGGCTGAGATCTGAGGATCGTGGTTCGAAGCCAGCCCAGGCAGGAAAGTCCATGAGACTCTGATCTCCAATAAACCACCAGAAAACTTGAAGTGGTGCTGTGGCTCAAGGGGTAGAGCGCTTGCCTGGAGCTGAAGAGCTGAGGGACAGCGCCCAGGCCCAGAGTTCAAGCCCCATGACTGGGGTGGGGAGGTGGATGGTCAACCTGTAGCTTGTGGCAGGGCTAGAAGCATGGTTCAAGGGGTAGAGTGCCAGGTAAGCAAGCCAAGCTGAGCTGAAGCCCAGCAGCACCCCCCCACCCCTCCACTAAAAAACACTCTGAACCCAGACCAAGTTTCCAGATTAATCGTGTCGTGGTTTAGCATTGTTAATCTTTAGCTCTAGCAGGGGTGAAAGCCTGTTATTAATTCCTCTCAAGAACCCACATGCTCCCTGCTTACTCATTTTCTGTAAAATTGTAGCCAAAGAAAATACTAGCATTTTTTGGCTTGTCACTAATAGCTGGACACTTTCCTTGGAGGAAAATCTTCCTCCCCTTGCTGGCTGGGTGCAGGTGGCTCACGCCTGTCATCCTAGCTACTCAGGAGGCTGAGATCTGAGGATCGCGGTTCGAAGCCAGCCCAGGCAGGAACGTCTAGGGTGGTGGGGGAGGGGAGGGGGAAGAAGAGAAGGGAAGTAGAACTTTTATGGCCAGCAAAAAGCTGGAAGTGGAGCTGTGGCTCAAGTGGTAGAGCACCCAGCTTGAGCATAAAAATGCTCAGGGACAGTGCACACAGGCCCTGAGTTCAAGTCCCAGGACTGGCACGCGCACGCGCGTGCACACACACACCGTTTTTCCTAGACATTTCTGGCCATTTGGGGGGAAGTGAGCACAGTTCTCTTCTTTGCACTAGCACCCATGACCCGTGTTTAGGGATAAGACCACATTCCTGGGGGAAAGCCTGTCACCCCCCCCCCCCCGCCCCCCCAGGCCTGGCTTCCCACCGCCATTTTTGAGTCTGGCACTCAGGGAAGGGGCTGATCTGCTCCATTTTGTGAGCTGATGCGTTCCCACTTTATTGACGAGAAGATGGCGGCTCAACACACACTCAGTGCCTTGGCCCACTGAGCTGTAGGGGATTCAGAACTCCAGTCCTGGCTGGGTTTGCATGGGCTGCTCTGTGTGTGTGTGTGTGTGTGTGTCCATCTTGGGCCTTGAACTCTGGGCCTGGGCGCTGTCCCTCAGCTCTTCAGCTCAAGGCGAGCGCTCTACCACTTGAGCCACAGCGCCACTTGCGGTTTTCTGGTGGTTCATTGGAGCAAAGAGTCTCACTGGACTTTCCTGCCCCAGGCTGGCCTCAAATTACTATCCTCAGATCTCAGCCTCCTGAGTGGCTGGGATGACAGGCGTGAGCCACCAGCTCCCGGCTCTTGGCTTGTCTGAACCGCATGATCATCTCCCAGGCTGTCAGGGGGAAGATTCCAGAATGGGTGACTGCAGAGGGAACCCCTCAACAGGGCCCAGCTGGAAAGAGCCAGTGTGAATAGTCGGGGAGTCATCAACTCTGTTTGTGCTGATCCAGCCAGAACGTGGCAGCCAGCGGGTGAAAGGGATTTCATCCATTCTTTCCAACTCAGCTGGAGAATGCGAGAACTTCTGGGTGTGCTTAAAAGTCTGCTTTAGAATAAGGATACTGCCTGAGAGGGAGAGAGGGAGGGAGGGAGGGAAGGAGGGAGGGAGGAAGGAGAGGAAGGAAGGAAGGAAGGAAGGAAGGGAGGGAGGGAGGGAGGAGGGAGGGAGGAAGGAAGGAAGGAAGGGAAGGAGGGAGGGAAGGGAGGAGGAAGGTAATAGGGAGGGAGGGAGGAGGGAGGGAAGAACGAGAGGAAAGGAAGAAGGAGGAGGGAGGAAGAGAGGGGAGGGAAGGAAGGCAAAAGGGGAAAGAAAAAAAAGGGAAAGAAAGGGGAGAGAGGGAGGGAAGGAAGAAGAAAAAAGAGGGAAAGGAGGAAGGAAGGAAAAAGGGAGGAAGAGAAAGGGAAGGAGCGGGGGAAGGAGAGGAAGGAGGGAAAGAGAAAGGAAGGAAGATAAAAGAGGAAAGGAGGAGGGAGGGAAAGAAAAGAGGGAGGGAAGGAAAGAGGGAGGAAGCTGATCGTTCCCAGCCACAGGGAGGAAATGAAAGCGCTTGTCCCATATCTCAGAAAGCCGGAACTGCAGTCACCCCCCACGGTACAGGTTCCCTTCTGACCACAGCCGGCGTCCTCTCCAACACAGGCCTGGGGGTCTCCAAGCCCCTTCCGCCCTTACAGCCTCCTAAATCCAGACTGGGTGGGGAGAGGGCCTCCCCCCACCCCAAACCCCATCAGATCACCCCCCCCCCCATGAGTTCTGGGGGTGAGGGAGAAAGATTTCAAACCCCCCTCCATTTCTCTCCTGAAGGGAATCTGGGATGAGCGGAGGAGACACCAAGCCGTTGGCAGCTGGTGACTTTGGAGAGGCGTCTGTGCTGGACAAGGCCGGGCGCTGGCGGCTCACGCCTGCCTGTCTGTCTGTCTGTCTGGCTACTGGGGAGGCTGAGAGCTGAGGATCGCGGGGTGAGGTCGCTCGGCTCCCACGAGCCGGCCAGAAGCCCACACGTGCAGGCCTGGCTCGAGTGGTAGAGCGCAGGCCTGGGGCGCACAAAGCTGCCCCTCCTCCCCCTGCCCTCCGTTACCTTCCTTCTTCCCCCTTCCTTCCCTCTCTCTTCTTTTTCCCTCCTTCCCTTTTTCTTTTTCTTCCTTCCCTTTTCCCCT